GCGAAAGAGTCACGCAAATACAGGCTCACCTGGCTTACACTCTCGGTAGCGCAATCCCAATCTACGTCAATCACAAAACGTTTGAAATGGCGTTCATTATCAACCTACCGATAATTCCCTCAAATGGCATATACAGACTCAGGGACGTTGTTAATGTTGGCAATTGGCACGGTGAAAACCATGTTCAAATTGACACACCAAGGATGGTTGCGTACCACGACGATAACCCCTCAGTTTATCTAGCTCCAAACCTTCAGATGTGTGTTCTCACTCGGGAGATACATTATCTGTGCGCGAGTAAGCCGTTTGTGTGGAATCATGTGCAATGAATCTGAAACATATGAAAGTTTCATTTTTATCATTACATTATGGAAAATAATGACCTTTATCACAATATGCTAATTTTTTGAGAAGGACTTGTACATATATATATATACAGTACATACATATATATATATATATATATATATACATACATACAAATATACATACATATATATATACATATAATATATATATATATATATATATATTTATATATATATTTATATACATATATATACATATATACACACACACACACACACACACAATACCCCCTGTAAAGATATATTGGTGTTTACCCGCAAAATCAGAATGAAAAACGCCCAATCTGGCAACACTGGGACATAGTTAGATCCAGTTACCATGGTGACAGACAGATCCAGTTACCATGGTGACAGAGTTAGATCCAGTTACCATGGTGACAGACATTTTGATCCAATTACCATGGAGACAGACAGAGTTAGATCCAGTTACCATGGTGACAGACAGAGTTAGATTATGTTACCATAACTGCTCCAATGATTACTAGCGTCCAGGGTAAACAAATGGAGTTTGCTGCCAACTATAAATCCCTGGATTTTACATGTGACAGGGAGCTTTAAGACACATGTTGCAAATTAGATCAGATTACTGAGGGCTTTCAACAGGACTTCGGTTCTGTTACCACAATGGATCCTGTTTCTCCCTCAAAGCTCAAAAACATGAGTTTCTTATTCTTATGTTTGCTTGATTATGGTGATGTTTTGTACGTGAATGGCTAAAAGTCTCCAGTCATTGAACACTTGTTTCCCTCTGAACTCGGAGGTTTGTGCGCCTCGCACTTGGCGGTGAGCAGCAGACCAGAGCTGATCGTTTCACCTATGTAAATGGTAAATGGACTGTACTTATATAGCGCCTTTCTATCTTATTTCAAGATACTCAAAGCTCTTTACAACAATCTGTGCCTCATTTACCCATTCATACAGCTCTATACTAGATCTCTATAAAGTTAATTGAACAAATCATTCTAATGAGACTAATCAGAGCTTTATCACATTCATACACTGATGGGACACACATCAGAGGCAGTGAGGGGTTCAGCATCTTGCCCAGGGACACTTCAGCATGCGACTGCTGGTGGATTCGAACTCTCAACTCTCGCATTGGAGGACGACTGCTCTAACCACTCAGCCACAGCCATCCCACAGTCTTTATTTAGTGTACGTGTTACCTGGTTGATGCAGAGGACAGGTGTGTTGAATTCGATGCTCAGGCGATGAAGGTTGGAAGAGAAGGTGAGCAGCTGTTTGTTCCTCTCTAGCCAATTATCTGCCTGAAACTCACACCTGAACAGAGCTGCCACCGAGTCAATCACGATGATCCGGACCAGACCCTGAGCCAGCAGGATGGGGGCACGGCAGGACAAACAAACCTGCAGGGACTCCTGGACATGGGAACACACATGTGAGTCTGCATTCAGTCAGCTGGGAAGAGAAATGAGTCTTTAAATGTAGAACAACATATCCAGCTGTGCTTCAAATATGCTGAAGTACAGCTGATTATCAAAACGAAAAACCTAGATCCTAATGTTCTATTTAACTACAGGCCAAGATCTAGATGATCATTTTGGTCCAGAGTGTTAGAAAAGACTTCAGATTTTTCTAGACTCTCGTGAAATTAGTGAAGAGTTCCAGTCTGGTTTTAAACCTTGTCATAGCACTGAGACAGCAGTAATTAGAGAGACAGATAGGAAGGTACTTGGTGTGATGTCTGGACAGAGAATGGATGATAAGGAAACCTGGTGGTGGAATAGTGAAGTGCAGGAAGCTGTTCAAAGAAAGAGGTTAGCCAAGAAGAAATATGACGGTGAGAGGACTGAAAAGAGGAGACAGGAATATAAGGAGATGGGACATAGAGCAAAGAGGGAGGTAGCTAAGACAAAGCAGAAGGCGTATGATGAGTTGTATGGGATGCTGGACACTAAAGAGGGTGTGAAGGACTTGTACCGATTGGAGAGACAGAGGGATCAGATTGGAAAGGATGTGTAGCAGGTTAGGATTATTAAAGATAGGAATGGTAATGTTCTAACAAATGAGGAGAGTGTGACAGGAAGATGGAAGGAGTACTTTGAGAAGCTAATGAATGAAGAGAATGAAAGAGAAATTAGAGTAGAGGTCATAGAAACTGTGGACCAGGAAGTGGGAAGTTGTGGAAGCTAGACTTAGACGAGAGGTGATTATCAGTGAGCAGCAGTATGGTTTCATGCCAAGAAAGAGCACCACAGATGCCATCTTTGCTTTGAGGATGCTGATGGAGAAGTACTGAGATGGCCATAAAAAACTCCACTGTGTCTTAGTGGATTTAGAAAAAGCATCTGACAGGGTGCTGAGGGAGGAGGTATGGTATTGTGTGAGGAAATCAGGAGTGGCAGAAAAGTAAATTAGACTGGTACATGACATGTATGAGGACAGCAGGGCATGTATGAGGACAACGGGACAGTGGTCAGATGTGCTGTAGGAGTGACAGATAGATGCAAGGTGGAGGTAGGAGTGCATCAAGGATCTGCTCTGAGCCCCTTCTTGTTTGCTCTGATGATGGACAGACTAACAGATGAGATCAGACAGAAATCCCCGTGGACTATGACATTTGCAGATGACATTGGGATCTGTGGTGAGAACAGAAAACAGATGGAAGAGAACTTGGAGAGGTGGAGGTATGCACTTGAAAGAAGAGGAATGAAAGTCAGCTTGTTACAAAGAGAGCTGGCCGTGGGCCACCGGACCCGAAAACCCGCCTCCAGTCCACGTCGCTACCCCGGCTCGAACCTCTCTCAGAAGCGGCAACTCACACCAACAATAATTCAAGGAGACATGAATTAAGTTTTATCAGTTATATTAAATCAAGGCAGGAAAAGGTTACAGTTAACAGCGCTGGCCTCTCCGTTCTATGGCATGATCATGAACAAAATTGTACAACATTGTAAACAAACATTGTAAAAATGTACTTGCGGTAAGATGGCACCCGTGTACATGGCTTGAAATCCACCTCTGCTGATGGTGTTCGGATTATTTTTGTTTTGTTCGTTTTTATCTGTGATATAGACTCACTGCTGATGTATGACCGGCAACAGCTTCTGGATCTTCATTTTTCTGTCATCGATGTCGCTTATTTGGACCAATATGAGCGTACCTCTGGACCCCCCCTGCTGGCGGACGTGCTAGCTTACCTCAGCTGGGCTCCTCACCTATCTGCCCGGAAACATCGCTTCAGACGCCGGGGAAAACGTGCTGGGTTTAAAGCCCTTGGTAAAGCTTAAAGCCCTGCGCACTGCATCTTCCTCTTCAGCTGATGGTCATGGTTTCCATCGCCAGCTTCCCGCGTGCCCAGAACAGGTAAACAACGGGAGTCGTCAGCCAGTGCGCAGCTCTGACCGACCCGGAGGGACTGTTATTGAAAATCTGCGGCCATTGGCGCGCACGAACTTCACCGCTGCTGGGTCCTCTTTGAACAGTATCCGGATGTGTTTGGTCAACGCAAGATCTGTTACCAACAAAACTTTTATCCTCAGGGATTACTTTCAAGAGCTCAAGTTGGACTTTCTCTGCATCACAGAGACTTGGATGTCTCCGGGTAAGTCCAGCGCCTTGACGGAATTATTGCCAACGAACTGTCTGTATTTTAATGCCCCGCGTTCATTAGGCCGGCGCGGTGGTGGATTATTAACAATATTCAAATCAACTTTTGACTGTAAACAACTGCCCATCCCAGTTTCCCACGCCAGCTTTGAGCTGAGCATCGTTGAACTCGGCCACTTGCCTTCGACGTTATTTGCACTCGTCTACCACCTATCTCGATGAAAGGATTTCATAAATGAGTTTTCTGACTTCTTGGCTGAAATCACACCAAAATATAATCATGTTTTCATTTTTGGGGACTTTAATTTGCACGTGTGCTGTCCTGAAAAGCCCTTGGTTAAGGACTTTTTAGATTTATTGGACTCATTTAATTTAACTCAGCATGTAAACGGTCCCACCCAAGAGCACGGACATACACTGGACCTTGTTGTAACTCATGATGTGACTGTTGATAATCTTGAAATTGGTGATAATGTTTTTTCAGACCACATGCCAGTCTGGTTTGAGTTCACCCTCCCCCATCTAACTCATAAGCCATGCATTTCTGCACGTCGCAGCCGGACCATTAACCACTTCACTGCCACATGTTTCACAGATGTTTATAACTCTGAAATGATAATTCAGCCCCCAGTGTTTCTCACCACCACTGAGGAGCTGACATCCCAGTTCAACTCTGTCTGCTTAAAGACTCTGGATCATGTTGCGCCTGTTAAAACCAAAACTCAGAGCAGAACCTTGGCTGAGTGACGTCACCAAGGCCGTTAGGCAGCAATGTAGGAGGGCAGAGCGAAAGTGGAGGAAAGACAGGCTGCAGGTCTCTTTCCAGATACTTAAAGAGAGTTGGTGCCGTTATCAGAAAGCAGTGAAAGCTGCTAAATCAAAATTATTCTCTGATATAATTACCTCAAACTCTCACAACCCACGTGTCCTCTTCTCCACCCTAAACTCTGTTCTCCACCTCACTGAACCATCACCTCTGGAAGCCTCGACTGAGCTGTGCGACAACTTCCTACATTTCTTTGTGGAAAAAATTGCGACCACCAGGGCTCTCATTTCCCCTCCAACTCATAACCCATCCATCCCACCTCAATCTGTAGCTCCTTTTGACCATTTTGAACCCATCACTCTATCTTCTCTAGAGCAGGTCATGTGCAGCTTGAAACTTTCTGGTTCCCCCTTTGATGTGGTCCCCCCTCGACTACTAAAGGAGGTGTTTCCAACTCTAGGTCCGTCCATTCTTGCCATAGTAAACAGTAGTTTATCCACTGGCGTGGTGCCAAAATCCTTTAAACATGCTGCCGTACAGCCTCTCCTGAAAAAAACAAACCTTGACCCCTCACTCGTTTCCAACTTCCGGCCTGTCTCCAAACTCCCATTTGTTTCTAAAGTACTGGAGAAAATAGTCGAGTCCCAGTTGAAGTGCTTCCTGGAGGATCACGCCATCTTAGCGCTATTCCAATCTGGCTTTAAACCTCTCCACAGCACTGAAACGGCCCTGCTGAAGGTCTTTAATGACATCTTCAGATTCACAGATACTGGTGATTCTGTGTTGCTTGTCCTGTTGGACCTCACAGCCGCCTTTGACACCAGCGACCATGAGATCCTCATTGCTAGGTTGGAGCAGTGGGAGGGCGTCACAGGATCAGCAACTCAATTGGTTCAGATCTTACCTCACTGACAGATCCCTTTGTGCCTCCATCAAGGATTTTAGTTCCGCAGAGGCAGAGCCTAAATGGGGGGTTCCGCAGAGGTCCATACTGGGTCCCCTCCTATTCTCTTTATACCTGCTGCCGCTTGGTGCTATTTTCCGGAAACACAACATGCCCTTCCACTTCTATGCCGATGACTGTCAAATTTACTTCCCCCTAAGACACAATGGTACATGCTCTATTCAACCGCTGCTCAACTGCCTGGCTGACATGAGGGACTGGATGGCTTTAAATTTCTTAAGTTTCAATGAAAAGAAGTCTGAAGTCATGTTGTTCCCTCCCACCGACACGATCACAAACCACTGCATCGACCTTTCTGCTCTAACCCTGTCAGAAAAACAAAGAGTCACTAATCTGGGCGTGATAATGGACCCTTCCCTGAAACTTAACAATCATGTAAACATGCTTGTTAAATCATGCTTCTTCCAACTGAGGCGGCTGTCTAAACTGAAGCCCATATTGTCCAAAAAGAACCTGGAGACAGTAATACATGCATTCATTACATCTAGGCAAACAATCCTTACTGTGGATTCTGCCAGGGAAAACACAGTTTAATTGACTGTCTGCAATTTAAAACAGAGTCACATGACGGTAAAGTTGAATTTTTGAGAAGCCATGGATATTGCTTTGGCTGCCTGCTACAATGTCATCTAAGCAAAAATTGTAAGAGGAGACTAATGTGTCAAGTGTGTCGACTGAGACATCCAACAGTACTCCATATTGAAAGTGCAAAGGTTTCAAAGCAGGAAAATCAAACGGAGACTGAAGGAGCTCCCATAAGTAGTGCTCTTGTTTCAGCAGGTGATGCAACTGGGGCCGGGAGACAATGTCTACTTGGGATTGTTCCTGTTCGAATCAAGGTGGCAAAAGGGGGCAAATATATTCAGACCTATGCTTTTCTTGATCCAGGCAGCACAGCAACATTTTGCACTGAAAGTTTGATGAACCGGCTAAATGTGAAAGGACGCAAAACAGAGATACTTTTACGAACAATGGGTCAGGAAATGATAACAGTAACCTATGAGGTTAGAGGACTGGAGGTGGGAGACTTGGAGGGTTGCACATATTTAGACCTGCCAAAAGTTTATACACAGGATAAA